AGCACAGTCTGTACGATTGCCCCTTTCGTATATTGCCGCTATAATCCATTCACTCCAGTTAGCTTGGATGGCGTTTTCCTTCCAGGCATGTTCGAACAGGGAGAGCAGTGCTTTGTAGAGGACCTCGGCACCATCCTTAAATAGTGCAGGTGGGAGGGAATCCGGGACAACAGTGCGAAAGCGATTGAAAGGCTGGATCGCGTTTCGGGCCTCAGCCTCTGATGCAGCCTTTATACTAACTATGCATGACTCATCCTGCTTCACCAGTGTAGGAAGAGGTCCGGGAACAGGAGGCCAGCTGAACTGATCCAGAAAGCGTTCCGTCTAGCTAGTCATCCAGCGATCTTCATGGATAATCAGCGTACCCATGTTGTCCCTGATTTTCTCATTGACGCCTGGTTTCCTGGGACCAGTAGTGCAGAGCAGCTGAAGGAGCTTGGGATAATTTCCTACTGCTCATTCCTCCTCCATTAGTTCAGAGCGAGTGGTCCACCAGGCTTCTTTGTCAACACGCAGACTTTGCTTTAGTTCGCGCTTAATAGCCCGTCTGGTATCATTGTGCTCAGAACCAGTCTAGAGTTGTCTTCTGGATTCCAACAGGTTCAATTACCTCACCGATATCCAGTGACGATTGATAGTGCCACAAGCAGAGGCTCCTGTGTTGTGCATGGCGGCCAAGATTCTATTCCACTGAAGCTCAGCGTCATTAGGACAAAACAGCAAAAGTTCGGTATTGGTAGGTTATGCTTGTCTGATGGTAGACAATCTCATCTGTCAACTAGGGAAGACGCTTGGTGCGTCACGCGTTATAATTCATGGAGAAACGACAGTAGAATATGGCATGATCAGAGTCGACGCAGGTATTCCAGAACGAGCGGTAATCCAGGATGGAAGCACGCCACCTGTAACTTACAGCAATGGGGTCAATTTGGGTCCGTCGATGGCAAGCTACAGGACGCCAAGTGGCACTTCGGTGTCCACCGTTTCTGAAAGCAATGTAACTAAGAAACAACTGGTGTTCCGCACACAGTTGCAGCAGACAATGGCCGTTGTCAGTCCGTTCGGAGTGAAGCACATAATTGCCAGCTCGCTGAGGTTCAGAAGAGCTCAGATGCCATACTTATGCATTCATATCCACTGCAAGCACTATGATATCTGAGCTGGTAGCACTGCGCAGTAGCGTGGTATAAAGCGTGCTTCGCAGCATTAGAACTGCAATCTGTGGATGCGTAAGCGGAAACCACATACAAACAACCTATGCACTAGTTGGTGAATCCACGTTGGTCGTTGTCGTTGAACTGGCTACAGACAAACGGCTGTCCACGGGAATCCAAGAAACCAACATCATTATACAAGTTAGATGCAAGTGGAAAACACCTCAGTTATTGTGCCGCAATACAGAAGACAAGAAAAGAAAAAAACAAATAGTGGCACGCCCGCTGAGTCCCCAGTAACGGATGGACATCGTTCCGGAGAGCTAACAGCCGGCTATCGTGCCGCAAAAAGTTATGTTATGCCTAACGAATACGATCGTGATTGGAGGGGGGTGGACAAAGGAACTCACAACACAAACGCCATTGGGGCCAGCTCCAAGCCATATCAGCAAGTGTGTCCAGTCAAACATGTTCATCGTCCTTAGGACCCCAGTCAGGCAATCGGGATGCACCAACCGACACCAACTGCGAAGTGAGGGCTTTCATCTCTCTCTCCACTAAGTCATCACTTGGCCTCCCCTCCTCCTCTTCCAACCGCACCCACAACGCGCAAACAATCCACGTCGCGGGAGTCGGTGTGCTGGCATGCGCAACACGTGGCCCAACCATCGGAGCCTGGTGCGTGATACAATGGTGCTGAGCGGTTCACTCGCTCTTCCTGCACCAAATACGCGACGCCGAACACGCTCATTGCTCACGCGGTGCTCCCACCAGACATGAGCTAAGCTGCGAAGGCAGCGATGATCGAATGTGACGAGCCTCTTTGTGTCTATCGACCTGATGGGTCAGGTTTCACAGCCATATAGGAGAGTTGAACGGACGACTGCGTTGTAAACTCTGCCCTTCAGGGCAAGAGTAATGTCGCGTCTGCGCCACAGGTGGCGGAGATTGGCAAAAGCATCTCGAGTTATTTCTATACGGTCCGTAATCTCATCTTCGATCCCATGGGCGCTAATATAGCTGTCCAGGTACTTGAATTCCTGAACGAGTTCTAGCAGATCATCATCAAGCGTTGGCGCAGGGTTGGGTCCCTGCCAATCTTGGAGAAGTACTTTGCATTTCGAAGGAGCAAAGCATAGCACAAAACGATTGACAGTCAGTGCTAATCGGTCCAATACTGCTTGGCATGTTTGGGAGCTGTCACAGATTAGGGCAATATCGTTCGTGTACTCCATGTCAAGAAGTCGCACACGAGGAAGTAGGTCCACGCCTTCTAGGTCGTGTTCAGCGAATGCTGTTTCTATAACTTCCTCAATAGTGAAGTTAAAGATGAAAGTGACAGCGCGCAACCTTGTCTCACACCGCTGGTGATACTGAAGGGTGGCGACAGCCTGCCATAAACCACCACTCTGCCCGAACTATGCGCGTACAGCGCCTTGATAATGTTTACATATTTATCAGGCACACACTTCCTCAACAGACAGTCCCAAAGGGCACATCGACCGACTGAGTCGAAGGCCCCTTTTATGTCAAGAAACACGACAACGGTGGGTCGCCAATAAACATGGCGGTGCTCCAACACTTGACACAAGGTGAAGATGTGGTGGATGCAGCCACGACCTCGAGGAAACCCAGCTTGCTCTACACGAACTTGGCTTTCACGAGTGCCAGTCAGTCTGTGGAGAATGACAGACGCAAGCAATTTAGAAGCAATTGAGATCAGACTGATCCCTCTATGACTGCCACATTCCAAACGGGAGTCTCCCTTGTAAAATGGGAGAATGACGGAGCAGAGTGTCTACCACAGCTTGACAAGTGAGTGCCGAAACAGCGTCTCGGGTTGCATGCAACGAATAGTGAGAGGACAAGCCGAGTGCAGTCGCTTCAACAACCCCATTAGGGTCATTGATCCTAATTTCGGACACACAACACACATCAATACCCAGGGTGTCTAAGGTGCGTGCGAGTGCAGCCTGTTGACCTACTTGTCTTAGAGTGCGGACGTTGAACGCCGCCATGGAAACTGGACAGCAAGGCCTTATAAGGGAGTTTTGGCGACAGGCGTCCGATAGGTGCTGTGGGATGGTGGCTGCAGACGGTTCTACTCCAGTGGCACTTCGGTTGCTGTCAATTAAGCTGGGAATTATAGAAGGAAGGTTAGTAATGAGGGTCGGGATGGGGGTAAAAAAAACAGGTGGAAAAGGAAGAAGGGAGGCGCCAGCAGTAGCATGTTTTCGCTTATCCGCCATGCTGTAAGCAGCAGACAACGCGCCCCTTGATAATCTGCGTGACGGTCGATGCAGGATGAAGTTTATGTTTGAAGAAAAAGTCATGGTTGTACGTGGGCTGAGATACTGCCGGGGCGCCCAGACCTAGACAGGAAGACGATTAGGGTCCTCAACCAAATTCTTTGGCTCAAAAGCTTGTCCGCAAGGCAGCGGGGAGGTGGCAATGATTTAGTTTTACAGAAATGCGCGCCATCCCATTTCCAACCCCCAACCTGTAGGACCAAGAGACTACGTTTGTCTGCCCTCTAATCATTGAGCAACATTGTAGGTGTAGCTCCCAAGTGGCCCGGAGGCACCACCCAGTATAACTCAATGGGTCAAGGAGTTACGCAAACCGTCACACCATGTTAAGGTCCAGTCTCGTTGCGACGGTCATCAATACAGTGTCACTTAGAACATGGGGCCGAAATCGGAAACATCGCCACGGACTTGAGGGCGTTAAAGACAGTAGATAAGGTAAGGTGGATCCCGTTTTCGCTCAGCTGCTGCTACAGCTGCACTTAAGTGCCATCGGAATATCGTTCAACGATCTCTTCAACACGCTGCAGGTAATCGGAAGTCGGCTTCTGCCTGTTGTTTGCTTCACAACTGCGCTGAGTATTGGTGCCTTCTCGCCTGTAGGCATTGACGATGTTTCCGACCGTGCCCTCGTTGACATTGGCTGCTTCAGCAGCGTCGTGGGTGGTTTTGTCGTCGACGAACACAAGCACGGTGAGGATCTATTACTGAGCAGATGAGGTCCGCTTGTACCGCCACCGCCTCGAAGATGCGTTCTCTCGCCGTAGGTCGCTCATTTTGGTCGTTTCGCGCAGCACAAGGTTAATAAGGCTATGCTGTGTTTGTTGGAGTTATGATAGCCCACACTGTTTCAATAGTCGTGCAGCTGTATAGTTACACACACATACCCACACAAATACGTGAAGGCCTGTAGGGGGACGTGGGAAAATTTCCTCACTGATTTTGATCGAGATGAACGACACCCGTGATCAAGAGAGGAGCTTGCACAATCGCTCGCTGCTTACACCATTTGGTTGCATTATCATGACCACAATGTGGGCTGAACATCGCCCAGTTGCTTTACTCCCTCTTATCTGATAACAAATTGTTAATTTTCTGCTTAGCATGCAAGGTGTCCAATTTGGTCTGCAAAAAGGTAAAATTTGAAGTGAACATGGTATATAAACGCTGTGCACACAACAAGATCACAGCTTGCCAGAAAAATATGAGCACCAACTCAGTACAAAGAGTACAAGAAAACATTGGCCCACTCAGCACTCTGACAGCCTTAAAATATACGGAACTATTGTTCGTGAAAGAGTGCGGGTTCAAACAGGGACACGAGATCATCACGAAGAACAAGCCCCTAAGAGAAGCATCCTCAGCCAAACTACAGACTGCCATGATGTGACTCGAACTTCTTTCTCTGTCATTGAATGCGGCCGAGTACTGCAGTAGGGGGACGAACAAATTGCAGCGGCAGAGATCCACCAGAGCAACCTGTAAAAGTGTGGCCACACGCAAAGCAATATACACAGTATGATGCTAAGGAACAGCTTACTTGAGTAGGCTGCATGAGGAAGTAGCAATAAGATGCGATACAACCGGTGTCGAACCATGGTCGCGATGGCCTTCAAATGGTTACCGTAAAGGCGCACTAGATCCAACAAGTGGGGAATCATGTTCAGCGCACTCTCGATCGGCGCTAGTAAACGATTTATCACATCCTCTGTGTGTAACAATGGGGAACAATATTCCAAAAAGACTTGAATTGAACACAAGGCTCCAGCTCTGGCTTCCAATACAACCTGAAATGAAACAATGTGACAAAAAGGTGGCACTAAAACAAGGGACAAAAGATAATATGTTCGATGAGTGGTTGGGTAGCTGCTGCACGAGTGACGTCGGCTTGATTTGCAAAATGTCCATTTTAAAGTGAAAATGATATAAATACACTGCGAGTGTTAGCTAAACCACTAACTCTACCCGCTTCATACAGCGTACCTTGCGTGATGACAGCGCATTAGTTGGAGAAACCTCAAGGAGGACAAACGAAGAAGTGGCGAAGGGGTATTGAGCCTCTCAAGCAGCAGTGCGCAGGGTTGATAGGCCACTCTCTCTCTCTTGTAGTGGCACACAGGATAAGTGGTATTGGTAATTAGAACCATTCTCTGATATGCCAAAACTAACAGGTAAGCGGTATCATATTGTTTAGCCACAGCGTTCGTTGTTTATCAGTTTCTGTTTTTCGACTTGATTGGTTGCAGTCTCGTACACTAACTCGACGGTATGATGCGGTGTGATTCGAGCTGCTGTGTACACAGTCGCGGCAGAACACAACACCGTTCAGTGGAGGTAAGCTACCAGTGGGCTCATGGTAGAGTTTACTCGGACACAGTGCACATCATAAACAACCCAGAGCCTCGCTTTCGTGCTGGTTTGGACGTATCAGGGAGAGATAACTGAGCTGAGAGTGGAACTCGGCGAATAGTGCCTGGCGGCTGTCGCCATGATCACTAGGCCATGGAGCTCCGCGATCAGTGCTTGACACAGCGGTAGGGTTAATTGTCGGATTTTGGAGCACGTGCGAAGCTCAGTGGCCTAGTGGTAATGGCGACAGCCACCAAGTTCCACTCCCAGCTCAGCTTCTGTTTCTGATGAACCCAAACAAGGACGAAAGCGTCGGTCGTGGAGTGCAGGAAGGGAGAAAGCCATACCGAAATCCACAACTATAGGGACGGTCCTAGTGATCGTACTGGCGAAGGTTGACTTCAAAGTCAACCGAGGCCACAATAGAGACTGTGTGTTGCAATCCAAGACACACAGCACGTGCTCCAAAATCCGAAAAGCAACACAGAATCGCTCTGATCAACCGCTCCAACAGTTCCGGAGTTCAGGAAGACTGGGTAACTCAAAGCATCTTGCCCAGTGTCAATGAGCTGACTCGAGCTAAGATGGGCAATCTGAACTGAATAGAGTTGGAGAAAGACAAAGTAACCGAGACGAGAACGACAATTCGATTTGACCAAGTCCCCCCAATATCAACGCAGTGCAGGAATTGTGATGACAGCTAATTTCATCAAGTCCCACAGAATACACGAGAATCAAACGCATTGCCGATCCGCATAAGGTTGAGAAACAGTCAAGTAATACACATTCTCTTTGGGAACTAGCACATAATAAATGTCAACTTGATTTATATCAACTTAATCGCCCAGTTTCCAGAACGGAACCTTATCCTGTTTAGGACAACGTAGCAACAGCTCCACAACCAAACGCGATACTGCCAACTAAAAGTTGCTCCTTGTTTCTGCGGTTCTGACCTTTGCTCTGACTAAAAAACCTGTCTCAAACCCGAACGAGCTGACATGACGGATATGGATACCGGTCTCGCGCAACGAGACAGTAAGAAGCAGAGTGAGTCTAAGCGCGATAACAGCTGTGCGGTAGCGACAAAAGAATAGGAGAGAGCCCACTTAAGGTACATTAAAGTGACGACCGATACTTAGTATAAATCAGGTAGACAGCAGAGAAATTAGAGCGTGGATGTTGTTGACAATAGATATGCAGGCGGGTGGAACCTTGAAGCGCAAAATCGGGGTGGGGTAATGACTTCTAAATTGGTATAAGAACGTTCCGAGAAAGTGTGTGTGACCGCAGTGTAGATGCAGCTCAAAGTTCAGGTAGTGCAATGATGAACACGGGAAAAAGGTTAGGTGATGAATTTGTAAAGATTATGTTCCTTTGAGAGTGCCAAACTGGGAGCAGTGTTGTGACCCGGGGAAATCAGGATTCTGCGAACAGTAAAGCTACCGACAGATGAAGTGAATTGAGCGCAAGTCAGTGATACACATGCTTAACCCGCATAGAGAATGAGTGCAGTAACGGAAGTTGACTCTAGAGCACAGTTGGTCCATTCATTAGGTTTGGCATCCGATGCCCGGTAATAACTGCAGTCGTAGATACGTTCACTGGCTGAAGTCGAATCAAATTTAAGTATCCGGTTGCTGATGCGAAGCATTTATTGCTTGTACCTAAGTTTCTCACCTAGAAAGGGGAGAAATAAAAAGGTCACTTAACGTATTTCCAGGACCCCACTATACAGTTCGCGTTTGTTAAGAAATCGTAAAAGACAGCGATGTCGAATGAGTCCTTCAGCAGAGGTTTTAAGCATTATTGCAATATGATCGGGATAAGAGTAGGCGCGCGCGCGGCGGTAGGAAAGCAAATTCACCTCCCGCAATCACCCGAGCGATTATAAATGGAATGTACAAAGATTGTAATAGATGACCGTTCAACGCTAAGCAGTGTGGTGAGTGTAGCTACGAGATAACAAGTGATGGTCAGGGTAGCGCGTTTGCACAGTTGGAATGAGTGGTACTTACTTGCCATGTGAATGCATCACCACGCTGCTTTTCGGCTTCCAACTCCTGGACGCTACGTGGAAATGCATTGCGCCAAAACAGCAACAGTTGCGGTAAGCGCGGCCTCACTTGATCCGGACCCAAAGATAAGTAGGAGGCGAGCATCGTCCAACCAGCTTGTGTCCTGGACAATGTCAGACGACTATTCTGATTGGCCTCGCGAAGAAGTTCCTCGGCTAGAGAGAATATCTGCAAGTAACCATATTGGTGATGGATAAGCCACTCACGAAAACTGGTATGCAGAAATGTGCAACAGAGATGAGCGTGTGTTAGAGCAGGCAAACTACGATGCAACATGAAGTGCATGTCAAATTATGAAGTAGCGGCACAAAAATGTTGCAGTCTGCTAAATGAAAACTCCTGCCTACAGAGGAGGCCAATGTGAGAACGCAAAGATTGCAATCGTTAAGGATAGCGTTAGAGAAATGTTATCAAAGGGGAGCCAGTGTTTAATGTATGTTCAGACAAAGGTCAACTAACATAATACGGGCACACCGATTGAATGAGAGATCTGAGGATCGATCACATACAGAATTGCGCCTATAGGTTCGTTCTCGCCTCAAACGTCAAGTTTAGTGAAAAGGCTCGCAGGCTTCGATTACACCATATCCTTTCTGCATGTATTCTTCCTACCGTTGAGTTAAAGACTTGACCGAGATTCACTTCAAAGTGAACCACGGTTCACATTGTGTGTGGTCATCCATTCACACAACGTGTGCTTCAAATACGTCAAAAATGAGTTAATAACCACTGTGAAAAGCATTGCCCGCAGGTCAATATTATAAAGATAGGTGTGTGCAGGGACTCGCCAAGTGTCGGGTACGAGTCGTAGATGTGTTATCGCTAGCTGACGAGAGCAAACACTCACGAGACCGGCCGATGGATGCAACATCCAACTCTTATCTGTTCTAAATGCACTGGCTTATTTAGACCCAAGTGACATGCTCTAGTTGAGTCATCCCGGGCTAAACGAAGGGGTCGAAGTAAAAAACCTCGAAGAGGTATATGGATGCTGCAAAAGATCATTTGACCGGATAGACACAACAGATAAGCTACGTAACAAGAGTAAAACCAGTACCTAAAGAGATAAACGATGAACAAAAGTGCTACGAGTGAGAGTCGACTCGAAGTTAATGTGAAGCGGTACGGTATGCCGTCCGCGCATTCCAACCGGAGGGAGATGTGCGCTTAGAAAGTTTCACACACCGAAACGTCACGGACTAACACGAGCACTACAGGCGATGGAAAGCTAAATCGAGTTTTGGGACATAAGGGCCAAAATCAAAAAGGAAGAAGCCAGAAATAAACGGAGGTACCTGGCTTGCACGATCCGATGGGACACCCAGTACATCAACAGTGGCGCCGGATAGAATGGCCCCGATGGCACCACCATATCCAAGAATAGAATCACCATTCGATCGTTGAGCTTGTCTAAGGGAACTGATGCATCCGTCCAGCGTGGGGACCCGCTGATGAGGCAAAACAACGACCAACTGGCGAAGACACTTCGCGGCAGCGAAGCGCACGGATGCGATTGGATGGATGAGAGCGGTGCACAACAGATCGATTAGCCCAACGGGTTGGTCCAATAAGGGGGCTAAGAGAGAAAAAGCAACTCGACATCAAGGTAAGCATTCAGAGGTGAAAGTTGGAATGGATCAGGTGGGTAGACACACACAACTATTCTCGTAGCGTTAAAATAAGCCCACCGATGATGTCCTCCTAAACGCATACATCACTATATATAGGAATGGAGAATAGTAGAGAACACAGGAGCGTAAATCGCGAAAGACAAACAAACTAGCCGAAACCTCTCGGGGTGACAAAGAAGGAAATTACCGGAGCGACAGTGATTAAATACAGATAACTGCCCTACAAAATTTGGTGCTAAGACAACTTTTGCGTATCAGGCAGTATGAAAAAGTCGACAGAAAACTATCAGATTCGTCTAGATGAAACTAATCATGTACCGGCAAGGTTGGTGAATCAACAAGCGTTTCTTAATTCAGCACACTTCGCCTCTACGTCCTCCGTTATCGCTAGCCAAGGCAGCTGCAGAGACTGGATCGCATTCGTCTGCGAACATAAAAGTAGTTGTAACGGCCGAATACAGATCGCTTCGGCCGTTGCAAGTGTACGGAGGGATAGGCATTCCAACTGCAACGGAGGGACTCTGCAGATTACACAAAAGGCAAGATTTGGGTCTATTTTGATCAGGAGTAGTCAGTATACGAATGAACACAGCTCCGTTCTCCCGCGATATAAGTGAAATTTGACTAGTCTTACATCAAAGGCACGTAAAACCTGTCCTTGGATGACGAGCGTAGGTTTAATAAGAATGTGATGTGTAAAAATGCGTACCTTGATAGACTTATTGAGAAGAAAATTCAGGAAGAAACCAACCCGGTGCCGATTTTAAAAACCGATAAGGAAGAACCATTGATAACATTGAATTCCAAATGGACATGGCCGTGGAACGTTTGGCCAAAAATCTGTCATCTGCAGCTAAATCTACTTTTCCTGGCGGCGACTCTGAAATGCGCCTTCTACACCGAACTTCTCATTCCTACACAAAACAAGGACATGTTATCGGCGCTGACTGCCTCTAAGGTCATTTAACCGTTCGAGTGCAGCTGTGCAGCAACGTATGTCGGTCGAACGGCACGGCCATTGTCCGAATGCGTCAATGAGCACAATTTACGCTGGTTACGTCAAGGATGCACCGGAGCTATAAACACCATTTTCACAACGTGTAGATAGACGTAGGCCTCCAAACAGACCTAAATACTTTTCTTTGTGTAATCTACAGATCGCCTGAACCCTTTTCAAAAGAGCACAAACCCATTGTAGCACACCGCAGCTGAGACGGGCAGGGGAAGACTATCTCCTTAATCCGCTCAAGCGGAACTCGTAGCCAAAAGGCTTCATTCAACGCTGCCTCGCACCACAAGAGGATGCTTAGCACACCTAGACAACTGTAACAGTTGAAAACAGAACAAATATGCTCTATATCAACGGAATCTCTGAAGTGGCGAAGAGGCTTTTATTGCTTTCGGAGTCAAAGTTGCACACTAGCCATCGGAAACAACTCGCAGTAAACACTTCAAAGTGAATGAGAAACTTACCAAAGTGGAAGAAACTGGTGTGATTTATAAGATTTGCTGTAGGAACTGACATATAGTAAGTAGAATAGACTGTAAGAAAGCTTGGCCCAAGGCTACATGAACACAGCCTAGTCAAACCTGGCCACGATCAGAACCCTGATATTAGTGCACATAGATACCAAGAACCATCAATTCGAACTAGAGCATGACAGCATCCTCGGAAGGGCTAAAAGCTGGTAAGCATGTGAGTTCATTAAAGCATGGTATTCAAAGCAGAACTCGATCAATAAGCACGTGGACATCGAAATCGCGTACGAGGAACAGCGAAGCAGGCACCTGAATATGCCCTGATGATATTGCCTTCTCAAGGGACGAAACGTCAGCACAATAATCACTCAGCTCGGAGAACAGCTAAAAATCTGCATCCAACCACGAGCCAGGGATACTCGCATATACTTGAAATCGAGTGTGTCTTACCGATTTAGCAGATACATTTGCATGTTAACTGGTATACATCCATTTAGTTCCTCGCCATAATTAAAATCTTCGGCACGAAGCGGGAAACTCGAGAACATAATCTAATACAGGAAATCCCCTTTATAATTCCAAAAAAGAATGTCAGAAGACGTAGATTCCGGGATGACACTGTTAGGACGATCAACCAGCGCTCCGGCAGGTTCAGTTTTTTGCGTATCAAGACAGTCACCAGTGTATGACTACGAATGATCGGGGTCTTGGGTGCGAAATGTTATGGCGTGCTTGTGAGTAAAGCGACAAAAGTGGCCTGCGCAACTTGCCACTGAACTCTAGGTTAACAGGTGGCCACACGGATAAGAGAGAAACATCATGGGTGGCACTCTGCTGAGAGGGCTAATGCCATGATACGACTGCGACATTCTTGTTTTTAGGCGTGTATGTAGCGAGAGATCCGTGCACCGTAAGCCAAATGCAGTACCCCATACCACCCAAACCAAAGATAATGTGAAGCACTGCAGTTGCCATCAGGTGCTCGTACTGGACGGATAACTGTGTTGTCTTGCTTAATGTGTAGGCGATCGCGATGACGACCACTTTGGTCGCTTGAGTAGTTCGTGTTCTCTGAACGCTGCACCACTAGCAATTGGCGGACGACTCATGATGCACCGCATACATTAGCACAACTTAGCCGCTGAATCGAACGCAGTCGACTGCATAGTCCTCTGAAATGAAACAATGGTGTATTACGGGTAAAAAAGCAATGTTTAACAAGTCGCGTGGGATGGAAATTATTGCGAAAATTTAATTGCAGGATAAAGTGGACTCACAATAAACTTATGAAGAATAACGGAGATTTCCGCGTATTAGAAGCATAAATCCATTAGTTGGGAGTTTGGTAAGACACCGTTTGATTACGTTTTGTAGCCCCTGGCTAAGAAGTCATAAAATGAAACGCAAATGAGACAAGGCATCATCAATTCGTTTTTTAAATATCACCAGATTTGGAGCATAATTAGGGAGGACGTTCCAAGGCTGGTACACGCGGAGGGAAAAGAAATTTCTACGGCATTTAAGCCGGCAATACGGTATTCTCAGGTTCAGAAGATGACCGCTTAGGTTAGTGTTGTGGTTCAGTTCCAGCGGCGGACGACAAACGTGGTTTCGGTTCTACAGAATCTGATAAATCATTGAGAGATACCCCACAAACGCCGATATCGACTGCCGTACTTTCTTAGAGACTTCACTCTAAGCTGAGAGGGCAGATGAAAGATGCCCCTGACGTTCTTGGTTGCTCTTCATTACATAAATGCAATCTAGGCCATGTTGGAGTATATGGTGATCTTCATCGTTACTAATCGCCAGCTATATATTCACAGGAAGCGACTAACATCCATCTCGCATCCTGAGATAGATCAGTGGCTTACATCCGACGCATTGTTTCACAGTGCCTGTGCTCACGAGGCGACATGTATATATGCAACTTCGACATGTCCGCAATAATGTTCAACCGAACGCTTAACAAAAGGACACTACGATTTCTGCGCACGGTAGTCCTCTTCGTGATACCAACTACCTACCATTCTTCTTCTATGAGCAAGGGACCTAACAGTACGTAAGAACACATGACCTCTCATCAGCAGCAGCAATGCAGTTCTGAATGTCAGGAATCATCCGTATAACCTCTGGTGGGCTCTGGCAACGCGTAACGCGGAAACATGCGGGAACTCTCTGTGATACCACTTAGCTTGAACACCATCTCTTATACCTACATGTCGAAACAATAGCTTCGCGATGCATAGCAGTGACAACGCCGGTTCAAAATACGTACATCTATGTCAATAAAATGGGAGAGCTTTACAAATCTGTACAATGCACTGTGCGAGTATACTTCCTCTGCACATTATCTATCATGTGCTGGCAGTGCTGAGACGTCACACAGGCTCATGCCTCTGACACAATTCGCTCCAGGTAACGCATTCTCCACTCGGTCTTGCAGAGTATACCCTCAGGATCACCCTGAAGCATCTCGGAATATCTTGGCCCCGTTATGTACAAGAGAGAGACTTTGAGCTGCGCTCCACTGACAGCGCTAATACAGAAATACGACTGCGACCATTTTGTTGCCATGTGAGCGGGCACTGCTTCGTTACAGCAGGCATCACTTATTGTTAGGCTAGTATTGAGCTGATGTAAGTAAAATGTGATACGGTGGCAAAAGGTCTCCCTAAGGAACATCCGAGTTGGTGCTTAGTGAGTAGGAGCATTTTTCACAGACTCGTGAAAGATGAGTGTGTCTAGTCGGTGGCGTAGCAACTACTTTACTTTCCAGGGGCGAAAAGTAAACTACCGCCCCGCCTCTGGCGATTGTAAATCTAGAAACTCTCATAATGGAGGACAGCTCTTAAAGCGTTCGTTTCATAGAACAACAAGCAAGATCCAAATTTAGAGTACTGCAGTAAATGAAGGCATTTTAGTGATATGGTTAGTACTCATGAGCAAGATTTGCATATACACATTTGGTGCATTACCTGAGGCAGTTATACTGATAATATTATTCATCGGCAAGTTCGTTCTCCATATTGAGAACTGTGAATCCGTGAAGGTTGTCTGCTCCAATAATGATGGAAGGTAGTTTTAAGCTTACGTTTTGAAAATGCGCTCTTACAGCTGGCAATGCTGAGTTTAGGTAAGAAATATGCGCATCAACTTACCTAAGGTGATATTTCTGTATGAGGCTCAAAAGCTCAGGATTGTCATTAATTTTTTTCGTGTCTAGAAGTTTTTACAAAATAGTGCAATTTTGTACTACTTCCGTCAAGAAATTCCTCACATTCGACATATTCACCGAATTCACTAAGCCGACAACCATGGTTATTATCAAGCATATTTAACGGTGTAAAATAGCAAGTTTGTTCGGAAGATCATAATTTTGCTGAAATTTACAACATTTCATCAGCCTAACTGTCTATGAGAGTCAGTATTTACAGGTTTAACTTCGCATCAAATCGCATCGATA